AAAATTAATTTCTGTGCAAGTTATTGGTGTGAGGTTGATTATTATTATTATTACTATTATTATTAAATAGGGATCTGAGAGAACTTAAGGGTAGTTGAGAAAGAAATGTAAATAGAAAAGTATAAGTTAAAGAACAAATAGGAAACATTTATCAGTCTGCCATTGGTTAATGATGTTTCATGTACATTCGATTCTTTTAAATCAACAATAGTATAATTTATGGCATTCCAAATTCACAGAGATGACATCTGAACTTTCAAAAAAATAACAAATTCCATGCCTATGAAAAATCATAAATATTACTATATGTACAGGGTGGTCTGAAAGTTTTGTCCCCCCCCCACCCACACACACCACCACCACGACCAAAAAGTAACAAGAACACTAGAAGTAATACAGTAATACAAGGCACATGTACTGGATTCAGTTTTATTCACTGTCATTGATGCTGTCACACATCAAGAAGGTCTGTATGAATGCCATCATTTTTGTGACACAAAATGATGCGGCACCATATCCAGTCTGATATTTTATGAAGCTGTGCTTTATTGATTGTTGCAGAGCCTCTCCGAATGGTGTCCTTCAACTGATGGGTATTCTGTTTACTCTTCCCAGAATGCACATGATCATGCGTCCATACACTTGCAAGCAACCTCTTTTCCAAACTGTTGGAGCTTGTGGTAGCCATCTGAAATAGAAAATTATATTACATAGGGGTGACAAGACTTTCGGACCACCCTCTATGTAAATGTAGAAAAATTCTAGTTTGTCTGAGAGAATCTGATGGTAATTTATATTCGTAAGTGTGTGTATGTATGTTTAGTAGACCTAATGTTTGTTGCTTTTTAGCATGATGACTTTGGAATGTTTTTATATACTTTCCATTTGTTTTAGATAAACACACATTAGATTCTTTAAGAATGGATTCAATAAAGGTTGGCAATGTAATATAATGTTTTTGATGTGTGTTTATAGTTGGTAATATTGTTACTATGAGGCTCTCAAGATATTATCTCCTTAAATAATTATGTTCTTTTTTAGGGTGGCATCAATAAAATCAAAGTTATGGCCAGTTTTGTTCCTCTGTATTATGAATGGTGTGTGTGTGTTTGTACGGACATATTAGTTTTACAAATTACAATATAAGGCGTAAATAGATGGCAGAACGGGGTCTGGGAGGGATAGTAAACTAACAAATACCACTAAGAACTACAAAGGATAGGAAGCTGTGAAGGGCCATGATCCTACTTGGCCAAATCTAAAATTATCTCTATACTCATTTATAACAGTCTTGTAAGATATTGCTAGTGAGTTTGAACCTCATTGATTGTCCCAATACTATAACCATTGTGCTACACTAAACTTGTCTATTCCTGTGTTAACATGTTTCTCTTTTACTTACATACTTATATATATATATTATTTAGGCTCTGAAGAAATAAAATAATGAAATATAATTACCATGTGTCAAGTGTGCTACTTTTGAACAAAACCACTTCAGGCAACAAAGTCTTGTATTTTAAATCACCATTCAAATTAAAAACAGTATTGACTGTTTGTTTTCACATTAATGTTAAACTTTGTAGCATTTCTTTTGACATTTTTTTTTTTTTTATCTAAATTCATAGCATTATTCAGTCATGAAAATATTTCCTGAGCTTTTATGGCCTTTCCAGTAAATTGTGAATTCATCCTCCTATTTGTTCAGTGCAAATCTTTCCTGCTTGAAAAAAAATCTTTTATTTATACAAATTCATAGCATCATTATTCAGTTATCATCAAAGTATTTTCCTCGGTTTTCCTATGTTCAAATGACTTCCATTATTTAATTCCACCAGCTCAGACCTTTATAACTAGGACGCATCATGTTAATTTCTCAGAATCGAATCACCCTCATTACCTCTGTATTCCAAATGTAAGGAGTCCCCCCCCCCAAGAATTTCTACTGATTCTTGTGTAGATGCTTCTGATCATGACGGTCTTAACCTCCTCATCCACACATCCTACCACCTCCTCTTTTACACACATCATTCATCAAAACCGTTTTAAAAGTAACCCTCAGCCTTGAGTGGCTCTCGAGCCTTTTATCGAGTGTGTTTTAAAAAGTTCAGCAATTATATCAGTTGTATAAATAGGAAATGTTAGTGACTGAAAGCCACAAAAGGCAATCATTTAAGTAAGTAAATGTAAAAAAAAAAGTATCAATAGTCATCTCATTCTTGACTGGCAATTCTTTTAACTTTTATTGCAGTATCAGTCTTTCCATATAGCCTGGATGATGATGTTTGGCAGGAAAATTATTCTAGCAGTAATTCATAATAATTTGAGACCTCAGTCCTGGTACTGTATTCTTGTTTATCTGGGTTTGTGTCTGTGGGTTTATTTGTTTTTTTTTTGTTTGTGTTTTTTTTTTTAAGCATTTCACCCCAAGCAAGGCGGGAAGCCACTAGGACACAAGGGGGTTACAGAAAATATAGAGCGAGATCAGATAGGAGTGATAGAAAAGAGTATGAGGAGAGGGTAGTGGATAGATCAAGTTAACTGGAGATGTCGATTAACAATACACTTGAATAGCTGGAGATTATAGCTCTCAGGGAAACTGGAATAGGGAAGGGAGTTCCACAGGCGAGAGGTGCGAGACATGAAGCTATTAGAGTAGAAGAGACGGCTACATTTAGGAGTTTTGACAGTGAAGGGGTGAGAGCGGGATGCCAGCACTTGAACTCATGAAGTCTGGGAACCAGGGAATGCAACTCCTCAGAGCAATTACCATGAAAGTATTTGTAGAACAGACAGAGAGAGGCGACGGCACGTCTGTGAGAAAGTGACTGTAGCCGAAATGCCTGAGCAGAGCCAATTATATTGCATATCTGCCTCTGGAGCCTATCAAGAACCCTGAGGCAAACAGAAGGGGCTCCAGACCATATATGGCAGCAATACTCCATGCAAGGGCGAATTGTTGATTTGTAGATCTAAAGGATCGATTCCGGGGAGAAAAATTTCCTGGCATGGCAGAGGGAGCCAACTTTCCTTGCGGTGGACGAAGCAATTGACTCAATGTATTTGTTCCATCTCAGGTCAGCAGTCAACGTGAGACCGAGCAGCCACAGAGAGTTGCTCTTGAGAAGTTGAGCGTCAGACATTCTAATGGAGGGAAGGGAAGGATCTCTGTGGTGATTAATAGAGAGCAGTTTTGTGGCAACAGTGAGCGAAGGAAAATGTTTATGAAGTAACCTTGGCTATCTTGTCATTTTCTCTCTGTCTGATCCAATTTCATTTGTCTCATTTATATAAGGAAGTTTGCACATCACTGGCATTGATTTCTTTAATGTTTTTCATAAGATGTTCATAACCTTCCTTTGTTTAGTAACAGATTTGGAATGTGATTAGGTCAAACTCATGGTCTGAATTTTGATAACAATTTGAACAGTAGGTTATATCTCTTTCACCTCTAACCATGGTCCACCACAGCTTCCTGTGCTTTGTTGTTTTCAGTTACTCTTTGGCTACCTGATATTCATTCTTCAATCCATTTGTTCAAATTTCTCAAGTAGGTGATATCTTTCTAATCACGGTCTTCCATAGCTTCCTGTTTTTTGCTGCTTTCAGCAATATGGTCCCCGTTCCTCCATCCATTCGCTCAAATTTTTCAAGTAGGTGACCCACTGCTTCCTTTGCTTCACTTGCCTTCAATGCACCTTGTGAGTGTTAAATTTTTCAAGCCTTCTTTCCTCATGAAAGCATTTCTAATAATGTTACTATAGAAATGCATTGAAAATTAGGAAGAAAAGGATTGTCAGTGGTCAAGAATTATGCACAACCTATACAAGTGGTCAAAACTTTTTATACATCTGACATTGATTTTATTTTCAACAGTAATTTAGTTAATCAAATAAAATAAATCACAACCCTAATGGCTAACCTTCATCCATAACCTAGCCTGTGATCAGTGTTTTCTAAATGAAAAATGTATAAAGATTTAATTTACCAAAGAAAAATATGTAAATAAACATTTCTCAAAATAACTGGCTTATACTTCCTTTCTAAACAATAAAATGAAATATTAATTTACTCACTTGCATAATGTAAACTATTTCAATTAAAAATATACAATTTTACAGGTAATATTTGTTAGTAAAAGGGACTTTTTTTTTTTTTACATATAAAAGTTAGCCTTCCCAGGCAGTTGCAAGGAACAATTTTTTTAAGCAACTATTATGTTTCCAGGCCCTTTATACACCTGGTGCAAAGGATATATTGATTGTAAATTGAATATTTTAATATCCATTAAATGAAGTATTAAAAAATACAAATTGTTCTTTTCATTATTTTTAATATTGGTGCAGAACGGCCATTTTTTTTAACCTATTTTTTTTTTAAATACACAAATTGTCAATGGCTACGGATTCATTTTTTCCCAAATCACTAAATAAAAGATTACCTTGAGTCAGATGTAATGAATCTGAAATACAAACTCATGAAAAATCCAATATATTGAATAACTGAATTTAAAGTAGTTTATATTATATTTAATTTATTTGTAGCTTGAGATGAATAAACAAACTCAAATTATGATTTTATTGTAACTCTATCCCTCTCTTTTTCTCTTCTCCTCTTTCGGTCTTTTTCTCTCTCTATCTTTTGTTTCACCTTTCTCTTTTCTGTTCCTTCTGTCTCTCTCCTTCCCTCTTTCTTCAAATTCCTTTCCCCTTCCATTCTCTGTTCTCTCTCTCTCTCCTTTCTTTTCCACCTTTCTTTCCTTTTCATCTCGCTTTCCGTTCTCTTTTCTCCCTTCTCTATTTTTTTCTTCACCGCCTCTTTTCCCTTCTCTTCCTTTTACTTTCGACATCTTTTTATACTTTTCATTCTTACTCTCTTTTCTTCTTCACCCTCTATCTTTTCCTTTCACTCTCTCTTTTCTTCCTCTCTGTCTCCCCCCGCCTAAGATTGCGGTCTAGACTTTTTTTTTTCCTTATCTAGAATTAATCTTTACCTAGCGCTCAAAAATATTTAACGCCAATGTAATCCTTCCGTGGTTTTTCTGTCAAATCCCGATCGACGGTAGCAACACACGTGTTGTTTTCTCCCTCATCCGTTTTCCATTTCGATCCACGTGCGTTTTTCTTTACCGACTGACTTTTTTTTTGTTCTTCGCCCACACCCGCCTAGGCACAAGAAATGCGTACCTGCAAAAGTGCATCGGGTTTTTTCGGCGTAATTTTACGCTAAGTAGATAAATAAAAAACCAAGGTCAATAAATACACCCTCACTAAAATGAATAGTTTTTTCTTTTTTTTTTTTTTTTCTTTTTTTAAACAAAAACGGAGGTAAAGATGCTCGGTCAAGCTGCAGACATTAGGATATGCTTTGACCTTCTTTAGCGTTTTATGTGCTGTCTTTTTTTAGCTATAGTTTTTTTTCTATTCCTCATGTCTGGATTAAAAAAAAAAAGCATTTTTTGATAGTTTTTTTTTACCTTTACAAAAACACTGGAAAAAAAAAACTAAAAGTAAAAAAGATATTTCAGTTTTAGTTTTCATTACAATTACAATACATTATAATTTTTTAAGTATAAAAAAGCAATGTTTTGTTATAAATTTAAATTGCGCAATATATTTTCTTTTTTCTTTCTTTTAAGTTTTGTTTTAATGTTCCATATTTTATGACCCTGATCGATTGAAGCAGTCATGCCATCAATTTGTTGCGTCATGACCTTGCACCTTTGCAAATAATAGCCAACATGGCTGCTGACGTGAAAAGCTAATCTTTTTTAGATAATTCTAAAGTCAATATTAATGTTTAGCCAACAAAAATATCCATAAAATCTAGACTTTAAATGGAAATAGTATTTATTATCAGAAACTTGACTTTATGTCAGTTCAAATATGTGTTTCATTGCATTTAAGTTATGTTTATTTCACACAGAAAATTCCAATACAGTGTAACCCGGATATAAGAGAGTTGTCGGGACCGGAGAAGAAGTCTCTTATATCCGGGTTTGGTCTATTTTATATACATTAACACAGGCTCTAATTTGGGACCAGAGAAAATCTCTCTTATATCCGGGTTTACGGACGAACTTGATTGCTAGACATAAAAAAAATAAAAATAAAAATATGATCATGTTTGGCAATTTTAGACGACACTTTCAATAAGAGAAGCTTAATTTAAAGAAGACGAAAACTCGAGAAGAATTGGCAATAATTAACATAGCTTGTCGGAAAGGAAAGACGTTGATGATACTGCTTTCTTTTTATGTTTTTACCATCTGCAGATTCCAACTCTTATCTTCCGTTTAAGGATAATTTTTTAAAGTATAAAAATCTAGCTAGATCCAGACTATTTACCTAATAATACTAATTTCATTTTTATAGATAAAAATTAAAAAAAAAAAAAAAAAAACTCTCCTACAACTTAAACACTTTTTCTTAATTCTTAGACGTGTGCGTACTTACACAATATTGCCTTTGTTCTTCTTAGGGGCAAAAAAGAAATTCACACTAACTAGGTAGGTAGTTATAGTGAGTTTTCTAAGAGTTTTTTTTTTTTTTTTTAAGTATATACCGACTATTTATTTGTATTTACTTATTTAATAACAGAAAAGTTATTTATATTTTGATAAATAAACATTAAAATTCATTTGATTAAGATATTTTAAATTTCCTTAGTCTGAGAAGGAATATTGTCCAATTAATGTGACTTAGGGCATTTTTAAAATGAGCACAAAAAGTCACTTCTTTTGGTACAAGTAGTAGCAGAAATAAGATCAGACATTTAGTTAGACGGTTTGAGGTTTGGAGTTGCAAAGACAGGTGGATAGGCTCTATTATTTCATAGAGTACTGAGATAGAGACTTGGATGGATAGATAGATAAAGAAACTTGGATGGATAGATAGATAGATAGAGACTTGGATGGATAGATAGATACTAGTTAGATAAAGAGACTTCTTGGATAGATAGATAGATAGATAGATAAAGAGACTTCTTGGATAGATAGATAGGTAAAAAGAGACTTCTTGGATAGAGATAGGCAAAAAAACACTTGGATAGATAGATAGGATAGATAGATCAGACTCTTGGATAGATAGATATGAAGAGACAGATAGATACGAAGAGATATCAAAACACTGGCAATATAGGTATCATCAGACTGCCATAGATAGATCACAGTAACACTAACAGACTAGATAAATAGATAACATCAGACTGGCATAGACATAGATACTGAGAAAACTGTGACAAATAGCTTTTTTAAATGAAGAATTTAAATATTTTCAAAAAATAATTTTATATTCCAATTCAACTGTCATAAATGTAAATATTATTTCAACTTTTTTGTTGATAATTTGTGTCCAAAAAAATGTCTCATTAAAAACCCATGTGAAACAAAGCGTTTAAATTCAATTTAAGAACTTTAAAATTTAAATAGAATTAAAATTAACACTTTTTTTCTGGCTTCAGCTTAGTGTCTAAAAATCTACTGACGTTTAGTGATAATTGTTTGAAATTAAATTAAATTCACGTTTTATTTATTGCATTCCTACCAAATTTATTCAGACACTTGAAATTAAAACTACAGGAAAATTATTGTTGAATTGAATTTATCCACGTGATTTTTTAAATAGAATCTATTAAAAAATCTCTCTCTATTTTTTTAAATGTCACAAGTAAAAGTTTGTATATTTCTTGAGAGAGAATACTTTTATTTTCAACAGAAAAAATGCAGTGAAAAAAGAGAAAGTATTTAAATTTATTTAAATGTTTTTAAATTGCGTGTGTAACACTACAGTGGCTAAAAATATATATTGTCTATGTTTTCTCCTAAAACCTGACCGAAATTGCATCTGTTAATTAATAGATTTCGAATAATTACACATTTTCTCACTTTAGCTTAAAAACCAGTTTGCTACTTTTGACGCACTTGTTAATGCTCTTAGTCTTTTCACACACACACACACATATATATATATATATATATATATATATATATATATATATATATATATACACACACACACACACACGATCCCAGAAGGTTTGTGTAAATAATTAGATATGTGTCCATGCACACTACTGAGCCAGTAATACACGGATATTGGCTGTTTGCCAACCTTAAAGGTTGCTCATTTGTGTGTAGTAAAAAGCAGTGGGCGCTTTCTCTCAGGTCGCACATGGTCTCTTCTCTTTGCGCGGGACACATCTTGTCTTCGTCGCCTTCATTTTAATCAATTGATAAACCATTCTCTTTTTGTTCTTCTCCACATCAACAACAACATGAAGGACTTCGCAAACCTGACAAACGGTCACTCTATCAACAACAACAGTCTCTGTTTTGATGGTAGGATGATCTATTTTTCTTTTATCTTTTTTCTTGTCAATTTGATTTTTTTGTGTGTGTGTGTGGTCGAGGACTTCAAAAAAAATTATTACCGATAATTTAATTATTTTCATTTTGTGATGATAAATATAATTATTTGAATTTAAAATTTCATTTCACCGGTTTGTACTTGTAATTTACAAGAATTTGACAGCAGTTACTAAAATAAAAAAAATGATTTAGGGAGGTAATGTTAAAGTTTTACCATAGTTTTTTTTTTTTTAATTCTAGAAATTTATTTCTTCTTCCGTGGATTTTTTGAAGTCTTTTATGTTTTTTTTTATGATTTTTTTTCTAATTAATGAAGGACAAATGTAGAGAACGAAATATCAGTTTATAATTCTATCGATTTATAAATCTAATTTATTAGCTATATTTAAAAATAAAATAAATGCCTAATTTTTTTAATTTAAGATTTTTTAACCTAATCAGATATTCACGTTTGCAAGGCTTCATAAATAATTTAATAAATATGACAAGAGACTTTTTATTGAAATAATTTCGTTAAAAAGGCTTGAAAATTAAAATAGAATTGAATACGTTATTCCTTTTGAAAAATTCTTTCTGAGACATTTTTGCTTCATAATCTTATTATATTATTACCCCCCCCCAAAAAAAAAAAATGCTTTTTTTTTTTTTTTTTTATGACAAATAATTTTCGGTTCAATATTATCGGTGGTCGAAAAGTTTAAAAAATGCGGGATTTTGATATTTGTAAAAAAAAAAAAAAAATCAAAATAAATGTTTTAGAGCCAGAAATAAATCCCTCAAACAAAATTTTTTGTAAAATAAAATCCATTATTAATTAAATTATATATTTTTTAGAATTAATTGGAGACAGTACATACGTAGCACGTGTTTCTTTGTTAATGAATCACATTACTTACTGTGTAAAAATCTTTACATTATGAAATTAGTTATTTTTTAAACTTTTTATTCAAGAAGCTTCATAAATAAGTTATTTATGTTAAGCGTGCATTTAAAGTAAATTCGCGCTTTTCTAGAAATTTCCGCGCGCTTTTTTTTTTTCTTTTCTTAATGAATTCATAAACAAAAAACTAAATCGTTTCTATTTCTTCTAGTATTTGTCTTGGTTTTGAGGCCTTATTCTTACATTCACAAAATGTCTCCCTTGTCCATTTTCCTCTTCTTTTTACCAGACAAATGAGTTCAAGGCCAAACTGCAAATTTTCTGACCCTTTTTAAAGTCAAGTGCAGGAAGATGTGAAGTGTAAGAAGCAGGAAACTGAGTGTGGCTTTCCTTACTAATAAATGAAAATAAAAATCACTTATGAAAGAAAAATAACTAATAATTTATTTTTAGATTATCAACCAAGTAACGATGTCACCAAATGATACGATAGACTTTTTTTTAACCACGTCTCTAAATTTAGTACCGGTTTTTCGCGGATGTTTAGAATTTATTTGTGACTGGATATCATGGAAATTTTAAAATTTTTTAATTGGTTCATCTGAAAGCTGGATATCACGAGAAATTAAAATTAATTGGCTATGCTATCACATGCATACAGTATTTTTAAAAATTTTTTTTTAATTTTTTTTTTTTTTTTCTCAAATTAAAAAGGTCTTCGTAGCACGTAGAGTCTGGCGTTAGCTTTCAGTAAAATGTAAAAATAAATATGACCCTGAAAGCTAACTCCAAATATTTTAAAATTGTCGCGTGTCAGAAGCCACCATAGCGAAGTGCTGGGAACGACAGGATCTATTCAATAATTTTTTCCTTCATTTCGAGAAATATTTTAGCTTTAAAAAGGAATTTAAATTATTTATAATATAAATAAATCATATATTTTTTTTATAAGGTAAAATTTATTATAGATATTGCAGATCTCTCTTGGCTATGGCGCGCAAAATTGAAATCGCGCCCTTTGAAAAGGTAATGAATCCATTTTTCTCCATTCCAGTAAGGGTTAGCGAAGCAAACTGGATTTTCTAGTCAGGGAAAAAAAGAAAACTGAATTCAAACCTAAGACGGTCTGGGTTTTTTTTTTTTTTTTTTTGTATCTGGTATTTATTTGTTCCGAAAAACAAGCCCCATTTTTCGGAGACAAGGCTTGCTTTGGGTGTCTTGCGTAAATCAGCTCGTTAATAACCAGCTATGTCAGGGTCTGTTTGTCTGGAGACGACATTGGTCATCTGGGTTGAGGTGGGGGTTGTATAGTCAGACTAGACAGCCCAGGGTCGATCATCGGCGAAACAACTGGATCACCTGTCCTAGTAGAAAAGGCGTTAGAATATCAAAAGCAAGAAGGACATAAACACGACACCCACTCAGTGAAGCTTTTCATTCGCGTATTTCCCCCTACTTGCCTCTCTTCTCCATTAATCAGTTTCATGTTGTTTTGTTATCGACACGAAAAAATAACAGGATATTAAATTATTTTTGCATTTTCTTACATCCACCATTCAATCCCCAAATGATGGCCTTTTCTTTTCAGATGCACTTTTTAAAAAAAAAATTGGGAAGAAATAAACCAAATTCGCATTTTTATTGAAGCAAAATTGGGAACAGTTTTTATTTTATTTTAGCTAAGATAACTAACTTTTTTGTTTTTTTTTTTTTTTTTTCACTTTGGAATTAAATTTTTGAATCCAACCGGATCAGGTTTCTGAAATAAATCTTACATTGGTTGACCTTTTTTCCCTTTTTCAGTATTTTTGGTTAAAGGGGCGAAGAAAAAAATTACTTCATTTGAGTCTAGATTATGATTGCGAAAATGGAAGATTACAACATAACTTGAAAAATTGCAACATAACTTCAGAAAAAATATTGAACTCATATTCAGAATCGTTTAGAAAAAAAAATGTTGACACAGCGGCTTCTGACACGCCCCTTCAGACCGTAGACAGTTTGGCTCTACGTTTTCTTTTCTTTATTATTACCTTTTGAATTGCCTGCTATGACATCTTTGGAGAAGAATGGAACGATTTCTCATCGCCTTCTCCATGGTTTAGAGTTTTTCTTCTCTGACTTGTTTCTTACCCAAAGCTATAAAAGCTCAGTCTACCTTGTTATTTTTTAACCAATAGCTTGGAAGAAGGGTGAAAAATGATTTCATAGTTTTCCCAAGGACATGAATGCGAAATCGAATGCAACAGATGGATTTAGAATTTAACGCAGAAAAAAAGTTACAATTTCGAGTTAACAAATAACCATATTAAGCAATATTTTAAAATATTGCTTTATTTCCTAATTCCAATAAATAATAAAATAAAATTTAATTCATTTTAATTTTTAAACCAGTAGATTATTCAAATATTACTTTTAGTTTTTTGTTTTCTCAACTCATTTTACTAAAAGTTTTACTTTTAATTTAAAAAATATCACCTATTTTAAATTACTGACCTTTCCCCTTATCCACCTTTTATTCTCATCTCATATATTGCTTTACCTGGCCTCATATTCTGATCACATAAAAAAAAAACCTTTTAGTTTTTGTGACTGATAAGACTTGGGATTTGTGAAATGAAAATAAATCATTAAAATAAAATAAAAAAAATCAGATCTGTTTTTACACTTAAATGAAATGAAAAGTCTTTTTTTTTTTTTTTGTATGACATTCATTCGTGACAGTAAATGAAACAAAAAAACGAGGCGCCCCAAACTATTCACAAATGTCCCTAAAGAATTTTTTCTTTTCGTGCTTGTGGGAAATCATTCTATATAAATTTGTAGTTGAATTTAAAAAAAATTTTGTGCAATATGTCGGATCAAAAGAATGTATTTTTTTTTTCATCATTTTATTTGTTACAAAAATAAAATGTTTTCTCAAAATATGAGGCTAGGTTAAAAAAAAAAAATAATTCAGTATTTGGTATGGAAAAAACCGTTCAAGCGACAAATATGTACGAGGGCGCGTTGAGTTCAGGCCCAACTCACTTCCTTAAATTTCACCAAACGACTTGACCTAAGATCAGAATTTAATCCTCTCTTTATGACCGAGAAATTTTCAGCACCACATCTACTTACCATACCACAGCAATTAGCCCATCTTCTTCAGGCTGTTAAGTCAGATTACTTTTATAACCGTTTGCCAGATCAGCACTTTAGGCATCACACGTGATTACACTCATGTGTCTGCTGTGCTATATGAGCGACTGATTGTGAGAAATTTGAAACCTCACATATTACCTGGCTTCTTGTAAAAGAAAATTAATACCGTCTCCTGGCCAAATAAGGGAAGAGAAAATAATAAAAATAGTAATAAAATTCCACCGTGTTTATTTCGACATCTTTCTACCAGTGTTATTAATTTTATCGCGAATTTTACAAATGTAATAAATTGAAATGTACTTCATTGTTAAGTCTGGAACTCACAAGCAAAGCAATTATGAGACAAGCACATGTTACGTATACTTGGCAACAGTTTATTTAATTGTTCCAAATGACAATCTCTAAGTACCCATCCATCGGCTCGATTTGGTACCAATTAATAAATTAGTCTCTAATTAACGCTAGTTAAATAAAAACTAAAATGAATAGAAATATTCATTTCGTTAATTAATTAAAAATCAAATTATTAACCTTTTTTCCCAATTGAATAAATATTCTTTTTTTTTTTTTTTTTTTTTTTCATTAATTATTTTATTTCTACATTTTTTAAATGTCGTTTTAGGTATTTTTTAAAATTTAATTTAATATTTAAAATTAATCTTTTTTTATGCATTTCATTTTTAAAAAAAATTCACCTCACTTGTTGCTACTTTCATAATCTATTTTTGTTAGGTCGATCTGTCCATGTCTTGTAAGTTGTAACTGATCGATAATTATTCCTTCCAATATTGCAATTATCATTTGCGACAAAAAAAAAACTTTCAAATATGAGATGATTTTCAATTTTTCATTAAACAAAAATAAATTGTTAATGTTTCTACTTGATTTTAAAAGGAATGAAAACCTGTCCTTGACACAGTTTTTTTCTTTTTTTTTTAAACTGGCG